ATGAAGGGGTGTCAACCCCTAATAAAAATAAGTTAAATTCGCTATGTTAGGTGAAAAAAAAAATCCACCCCTTAGCCGTGAGTTGCTGAGTTAAAATTTGGTGTGGATATGGCTTCGACATCCCTAAGTTGATTTTCGTTACAATTCGAATGCTACACATGAAGGGGTGTCAACATAAATAAAAATAGGTGAAATTCGCTATGTTATATGGAAAAAAAATATAATTTATATTATGTATAAAACACATGCATGAAAATTTTTTTATATGAAAGTAAGTATCTATGATAACAGTCAAAACTTAATATAATACAAAGAAATAAATATGAAAATAAATTAAAAAAGTCAGTTCGAACACAATAAATAATTGTGTTAGTACTGTTATCACTGAAATATGAAAGGTAAAAAAAATAAAGNCAACTAAAGTGATAATAAAATTAGCAGGTGTTATAAAAATTAAGGAATAATTATCTCTTATCGTCAAATCAACGAGAAATGATCAAAGGATCGTAACAGTTGTGCATCATGTGGAAAAAGACTGAGAAACGAAAAGTAACAAAAATTAACAAAAATGATTGGAGACTCGAACGATTCAAAAACTGAATCATTATTCCATCGTCCCACTCAACAAAAAAAGCTGAAGGCGTGTTAAAGGTAAAAAAGGCTGAAGGCAAATGAGTGAGGCGATAATAGAGAAAAAGAATAATTAAATGAGTATAAAAGGAAACTTATAAGATGTTACCTAAAATTAAGGGCGCACTTAAACGGTCATTTTTATAAGACCGGTATGAAGTTGGTTTTACAAAAAGGAGGGGTGATTATTGTAACGAACAAGCAGAGGCGGTAAAATTCAAAATTAAAATTTTCAGAAATAAACGGTTGTTGTAAAATTCAGTAATTTCATTGATGATAAAGTTTGGGGCCTTTCTATTATAATAGTTAATGTAATACTCCTCATAAAGATCCATTTTTTTAGATTTTTTTAGTTGTTTAAGCAGTTTTATGTTGGAGGTATGGTTATTATCTGTTAGATGTTTTTTAAAGGCTGATGAGGATTTAGAAATGTGTTCTTTGTATCTGGTCTCTAGGTCACGACCAGTTTGGCCTATATAGAAATTGTCACAATCACCACAACTTAATCTGTAAATCCCGCTTTTTTGAATATCGGAAAAACTGTGTCTATTGTTAGCAAGAATCTGCCCAAGTTTATGTCCAGCAGTAAATACCGGGGTAATATTAAAGTCTTTTAGATTTGCAGAGAGGGTCTCCTGTAAGTGGGGCTGATAAGGTAAGGAAATGTAAAAAGGTTTATGTTATCTACATAAGATATCATTCCTTATAGATGTTGAGTTTAGATCCCTCGAAATGACAAGCTTCACCACGATCTTTGGTGAAAGGAAGCGTGCCCTGAAGAAGATTTAGAAATTAAATCGAAAGCTTGGCTCAGAAAAAGGAGGTCTTTTAATTGTACCCCTCTATTGGTTGTAAACCCAATAATTCCTTACTGTTAAAATTAGAGTGTTACACATGAAGGGGTTGAAGGGGTGTTAACCCCTAATAAAAATAGTTGAAATTCGCTATGTTAGGTGAAAATAAAAATGAAATCCACCCCTTAGCCGTGAGTTGCTGAGTTGAAATTTGGTGTGAACCCCCCTTCATGTGTAGCACTCTAATTTTAACGAAAATCAACTTAGGGATGTTGAAACTATATTCACACCAAATTTCAACCATGCAACTCACGGCTAAGGGGATGGTTTTATTTCTTTTTAAAGCCGATACGTTTTTACCCTATTTTATTAGCAGTTTCAAAATTTATTCTGGAATTCTGGGATAAACAGCAGGTAGTGACCTTCGTAACATTCATTTAACACAACATGATCATATTTTCTATGTTCAATCCGTTTCACTGTGCGTTTTAATCTTAGCGACGGATTTGCGACCGTGGTGGGATTGACAAAATCCGTCGCTGAAAAGTCGTCGCTAACTTCACTCCAATAGTTAGCCATGCATTTTATCCAAAAAACAAAAAGCTCGTTAAATTGAGTTCATGAAACTGCAGTTCTTTAACTATTTAATCGTCTCTCTATCTCCGCTAGTTTTCAAGATCTCTATACTAAACATGGAAAAAAACTTACCCTGTATATCATCTTAAAATATCTAGTTTTAGCTTTAATTTGATATACAAACCACCACTTAATTGTCATAAATAGAGACAGAAGAATTAAAGAAAACGTTATGAAATAAAGAAAATTTGAAAGCAAATTTAATGAAGATTTAATATGTTATAAATAATTTCTTATTTTCCATAAACATGATTTCATAAAATTTCTACAAACAAAACCTGCCTTCTCTTAAATCTTATCATAAATTACAATGTTTGAGGTTCAATTTGAAATATAGAACGCGTTCCATCTTTTAAAAATAAGGAAGATATGTTCTTTTTTATTTTTAATTTTTCTACAAGTTCTCGCTTAATTTGGCAAATTTCTTGTTTATCATATTTTTTGAAATTTTTACAATTAAACCCTGCTTGTAGCGTACAGAGCCTACCTTCACATAGAAATTATAACTTTTATCAAATTACCTTATTATCATAAATTACCTATGTTACCATTTTTGTTGATTTCGATGTAAATGCTTGCCATTACAAGCATTCAACAAGACAACACGTCTATCTTTGTATTTTAATTCTAAAAAAGAGTAAATTATATAAACCACTACTCTTTACTGCCTTTTCTAAATCTTATCATAAATTAGAATATTTGAGGTTCAATTTGAAATATAGAACGCGTTCCATCTTTTAAAAATAAGGAAGATAATATATGTTCTTTTTAATTTTTAATTTTTCCACAAGTTCTCGCATAATTTGGTAAATTTCTTGTTTAACATATTTTTTTAAATTTTACAATCAAACCCTGCCTTTTCTAAATCTTATCATAAATTAGAATGGTTGAGTTTCAATTTGAGATATAGAATGTGTTCAATCTTTTAAAAATAAGGAAGATATGGTTTATATAAATTTTCAATTTTTCTACAAGTTTTCGCATAATTTTTCTATTTCTTGTTTATCATCATATTTCTCAACATTTTTACAATCAATGCCTGCCTTTTCTAAATCTTATCATAAATTAGAATATTTGAGGTTCAATTTGAAATATAGAACGCGTTCTATCTTTTCAAAATAAGGAAAATATAAGAAGAGAGAAAACAAAATTTATTCACGCTAACAAATAATAATTACAACCTAAAAAATAAATATGATATATGAAAAATAATATGTATATATAAAAAAAACTTGGCCTAAAAGGGCTATCGACCGTACGGCCCGGGGAAAGTCTTTGTTAGAATCTTGATTCTTGAATCTAGTTTATTTTAGTGTCTTCGTGGATCACAGCGTCTTCGGAAGTGTCGGCCTGGGTGGTGATAGCAGATAGGTGAAAGCAGAAAGAGGCATCTTCCGAGAATGAAAACACACGCTGAAGGTAATCCCCGCAAGGTAATCTGAGGGGTCAATAAGTTTGTGGGTTTCAGGAGACTTTTGATATATGGATAATTTTCGAACTTCTTGCCAGTATGTTTTGCCCTTTGACTTATTGATGTTATCACAGACTTCAATATACTTTTCGGTTTTGTATTTTTTGATTAAGGCTTGAATATGTTTGTTCAGTACATTAAATTTCCTTTTTAAGCCTAGTACCTCAGATATTGTAAAGTCGCGGTATAAGCGTCTCTTTTCCTTAATTAACCTTACGATGAACTTTGGCAGTGGGAAATTGTAGTATTTTTCGACTTTATTTGGGCGGCTTGGTCACTCAATTTGCGATATTCATTAAATTGAAATATCGTATCGACAGTGAATAGTTTTTGGTGCGATAGACCATAACGCGGCGTTGTAACTTTCATTGCTGTTTTGCGTATATCCCCCTAAATATCTTGTCAAAAGATCTTCCCTTGATAGTTCTTCGTACACAGGTTTTACTGCGTTGAAAACATCATTGCCGATTGCTGACTTGTGAGTGCACTCATCGATTTCTGACAAAGCGTACGCTTTTTTCCAGGAACACCACGAGTCAGCACCAACTGAACAATTGTCATGCTTCGGAGTTTCATCTGTTGAAATTTTATGATACAAAGTAGCCCAGATCTCTTTTTTCATGTCCTTCACGGAATCGCAATTTCTGCGAATAGCCAATCTCTTTCTGCAATATAAGGAAACTTCATCAATTAATTTTCCTTTGCCTCCTCATCCGCGAGTGTTTCTTTTTAGATTTCGTAACCGTGTGCCCATTCGTTTCTGAACGTGATCGACGCATTTGACCTTGTTCTTTGTTCTGTGAAGATAGTTCGCCATAGTTTGTAGTTTAGTAGTATTTTCAATATATTTTCTATCAACCGCTCGTTGTTTTAATAAAAACGCTACCGCAACTCAACATCTCACAAGTTCTCGCATAATTTGGCAATTTCTTGTTTATCATTATATTTCTCCAAATTTTTACAATCAAACCATGCCTTTTCTAAATCTTATCATCAATTAGAATGTTGGAACTTCAATTTGAAATATAGAACGCGTTTCATCTTTTAAAAATAAGGAAGATGTGATTCTTTTAAGTTTTTAATTTTTACAAATTCTCTTATAATTTGGCAATTGCTTGTTTATCATAATATTTCTCAAAATTTTTACAATCAAACCCTGCCTTTTCTAATTCTTATCATAAATTAGAATGTTTGAGATTCAATTTGAGATATACAACTCGTTCCATCTTTTAAAAATAAGGAAGATTCTTTTAAATTTTATTAGAGAGAAATAATTTCTTATTTTGTATAAACATCGTTGTTACTTATGACATTTTATATCCAACTCTACATGTCTTAATTTTATAGATTTGAAGATTTAACTTCATAAATAATAAAAATATCAATTTATAGAATATATTTTTATTTGATCTTAGAAAAACGTTCCAACTTTTCACCAATTATTAACATCAACATTTTTTAGTCTTCATTTACGAAACTTCTAAATGAAATTTCATCCTCACTTCAACATCATTCGGATATTCCTCATTTTTCATGCAATTTGGCACATATTGGTCTCCAAAGAAATGAGTAAAAAACCTAGCCACCTCCGGATTCTTATGCAACCCATTTTTAACTCCGCTAAAAATCAAATTCTCCTGCGCCGCGTATCTTTTAGTCCCATCTTCCACCAAAACCTGATAAAACGGCTGTCTCGCTCCAAACTGCAACTGATCCACATTCATCTCTCGTTTCCACGCATCACTTTCAGGACAAATATGATCCCAACCATAAATAACGCAAGTATAATTAAACAATTTGTGTCTCATAACCATCCCAATAGCGAATTTGACATCAGGGTGTCGATATCTTTGTATTCGATTTCGTCCATTACACTCATTTAAAAAGTGGGGTAAAGAATTGCGATTTTTTGAGGCGTATTCATTGATTGATAATAAATCTAAAATATCGTTTTCTAAATCTCGATTGAGGTAATTCCTAGTTTGTAAAATTTCTTTTAATGGGGTTGTATCAATCCCGAATTTCATGTAATAATGCGTTAAAGAGAGGGTTACTCCTAAATCGTAAGGATGCGGGATGTGGTTTAACTCCAAAATTGAACGCATTAATTGGACTCCATTATCTGGGGGTTGTAATCGCTCTCTTAAAGCGACTTGGAGGTTATTCACCATGCGTTCAATCACCTAAAACAAAAAAATCTTTAATAAANTCTTTTGTAGGAAAGCAATTCTCAAATTCTAACATAAACGCAGCGTGGAAGCTGGAGAACGCATTCTGAGCGGACGATGTAGAAGTGTAAGCCCACTCAAAGTGAGTAAGCCTTTCTGTGAACTTTCGTATATTATTTTCATTATAAGATCTTTTCATTTCTGTTCTAGGTTTCGGTGTAATATGCGAAACTTCATACGTTAATATTTGAGCGGAATGGTCAGATATATGAAAGTTTAACGTGCTAGTTCTATAATTGTTAAATCTGACGTTCGAGAAAATATTATCAATACAAGTCGAAGATTCCATAGTAACCCTCCTAACCTTCCTAGTAAGGCTCCGTGAATAACATCTCAAAGTTGTATGTTCTGAATATGTCCAATAAATCATTAACTTTATTGTTGTTGTCTAAGAAATTTATATTAAAGTCACCCATGATTAGTACATGCGGTCTATATTGTTTTGTCTCCAGCAGCAACTCCATGAGATGTTCAAGTGATTGCTTAAAAACTTCTACATTACCTGACGGCGAACGATAAATGACCACTAATAAGATATTATTTTGTACACTTTCCATTGCAGTAATTTCAAACTCTTTTTCAATAGATAATAAATGGATATCTGTTCTCTCCTTAAAAGACGTTACTTGTTTAGTTAGTAACATTACACCTCCGCATTCAAAGTTTTTACGACAAAAAATAGCCCCGATGACATAATTTTTGAAATTAACACCTTTTATTTGTTCCTGTTTTAACCAATGTTCCGTCACACCGACATAATCAAAGTCGTTATCGGATCTTCAAGAAAAATAATATGACTCGGTCAAACACTGACATTAAAGAATCCTTAACAGGTCAAACACTGGTGCGTTTACCCTAGAATACAATGCAGGTTTTGACAGCCCTTACAAGACCCGTAAAATGAAATGAAGTGATCTACAAAATAATCATAATTATAAAAATTCTGAAACATTATTATGTCCTATATTCTTCAAAATTTTTACAATCAAACCCTGCCTTTTTTAAATCTTATCATAAATTAGTAATAGAACGCGTTCCATCTTTTAAAAATAAGAAAGATATGATGTTTTTAACTTTTCTGCAAGTCCTCGCATAATTTAGCAATTTCTTGTTTATCATTATATTTCTCAAAATTTTTATAGTCAAACCCTACCTTTTCTAAATCTTATCACAAATTACAATGTTTCAGCTTCAATTTGAGATATAGAACGCGTTCCATCTTTTAAAAATAAAGAAGATATGATTTATTTAAATTTTTAATTTCTACAACTTCTGGCATAATTTGGCAATTTCTGGTTTATCATTATATTTCTCAAAATTTTTACAATCAAACACTGCCTTTTCTATTTCTTATCACAAATTAGAATGTTTGAGGTTCAATTTGAGATATAGAACGCGTTCCATTTTTTAAAAATAAGGAAGATATGATTTTGTTTAATTTTTAATTTTCTTACAAGTTCTCGTATAATTTGGCAATTGTTGTTTACAATTATATTTTTTTAAATTTTTACAAACAAACTCTGTCCTTTCTAAATCATATCAAAAATTAGAATGATTGAGCTTCAATTTGAGATATAGAACGCGTTCCTTCTTTAAAAAAGAGGCAGATATGATTTTATTTAAATTTTAATTTTTCTACAAGTTCTTGCATAATTTGGCAATTTCTTGTTTATCATTATATTTTTCAAAATTTTTACAATCCAACCCTGCCTTTTCTAAACTTCATCATAAATTAGAATGTTTGAGGTTCAATTTAAGGTATAGAACGCGTTCCAACTTTTAAAAATAAGAAAAATATGATTTTTTAAATCTTTAATTTCTACAATTTCTCGCATTATTTGGCAATTTCTTGTTTATCATTATATTTCTCAAAATTGTTACAATCAAACCCTGCCTTTTCTAAATCTTATCATAAATTGGAATGTTTGAGCATCAATTTGAGTTATAGAATGAATTCCATTTTTTAAAAATAAGGAAAATATGTTCTTTTTAAATTTTTTGTTTCTACAAGTTTTCGCATAATTTGGCAGTTTCTTGTTTATCATTATATATTTCAACACTTTTACAATCAAACCCTGCCTTTTTTAAATATTATCATAAACTAGAATGTTTGAGCTTTAATTTGAGATATAGAATGCGTCCCATGTTTTAAAAACAAGAACGATATAATTCTTTTAAATTTTTAAGTTTTCTCCAAGTTTTCGCATAATTTGGCAATTTCTGGTTTATCATTATATTTCTCAAAATTTTTACAATCAAATCCTGCCTTTTCTAAATCTTATCATAAATTAGAATGTTGGAACTTCAATTTGAGATATAGAACGCGTTCCATCTTTTAAAAATAAAGAAGATATGATTATTAAAAATTTTTAAATTTTGTACAAGTTCTCCCATAATTTGGAAATTTCTTGTTTATCATTATATTTCTCAAAATTTTTACAATCTAATCCTGCCGTTTCTAAATAATATCATAAATTAGAATGTTTGAGCTTCAATTTGAAATATAGAACGAGTTCCATCTTTTAAAAATAAGGAAGATATGATTTATTTTAATTTTTCTTAGAGCGAAATAATTTCTTATTTTGCATAAACATCATTGTTATGACATTTTATATCCAATTCTGCATGTCTTAATGTTATATATTTGAAGACTTAATTTCATAAATAATAAAAATATCAATTTATAGAATATATTTTTATTTGATCTTAGAAAAACGTTCCAACTTTTCACCAATTATTAACATTAACATTTTTTAGTCGTCATTTACGAAACTTCTAAATGAAATTTCATCCTCACTTCAACATCATTCGGATATTCCTCATTCTTCACGCAATTTGGCACATATTGGTCTCTAAAGAAATGTGTAAAAAACCTCCCGACCTCCGGATTCTTATCCAACCCATTTTTAACCCCGCTAAAAATCAAATTCTCCTGCGCCGCGTATCGTTTAGTCCCATCCTCCACCAAAACCTGATAAAACGGCTGTCTCGCCCCAAATTGCAACTGATCCACATTCATCTCCCGCTTCCACGCATCACTTTCAGCACAAATATGATCCCAACCATAAATAACGCAAGTATAATTAAACAATTTGTGTCTCATAACCATCCCAATAGCGAATTTGACATCAGGGTGTCGATAACTTTGTATTCGATTTCGTCCATTACACTCATTTAAAAAGTGGGGTAAAGAATTTCGATTTTTTGAGGCGTATTCATTGATTGATAATAAATCTAAAATGTCGTTGGCTAAATCTCGATTGAGGTAATTCCTAGTTTGCAAAATTTCTTTTAATGGGGTTGTATCAATCCCGAATTTCATGTAGTAATGCGTTAAAGAGAGGGTTACTCCTAAATCGTAAGGATGTAGGATGTGGTTTAACTCCAAAATTGAACGCATTAATTGGACTCCATTATCTGGTGGTTGTAATCGCTCTCTTAAAGCGACTTGGAGGTTATTCACCATGCGTTCAATCACCTAAAACAAAAAAATCTTTAATAAAAACTTAATAAAATTGATTAAAACAAACAATTTTAGTTGAAGCCCTCGTTATTGGGTTTACATCATAATTAGAATTTCCAGCAAAACTCATCAAACCCCGATTATAAACGTCAACGTAATACATCTCCCCATTTAAAGTGTCATGTTGAATAAATCTCAATAAAAAGTGTGAGGGGGTATTAACCGGTTCTAAATTAACCCCCAACCTCCTTGCAACACCTTCATAAAGTATTGATAAAGTAATTGGAAGCCCTCGTTTTGATTCAAGCACCTCGGTTATAAACGAATTATTAATGTTGAAATAATCGTCTTGATTCCCACAAAAATCCATCCTTTGGCAAATAACTTTTTGCATAACATCCAAAATAACCTTGCAATCCGCCGAGGAAAATTGATTCTTATAAATGATTTTATCCCGCCATAAATTTAAATCCTCCTGATTCGTTTGAATTAAAGGATGATTCGGGGAATTAATTTTTAAATATTCTTTAACCTCCTCGGCTATTTTATCGAATTGATTTCGTATCTTTTTAATTTTAATATCACATTCGGGTCTACACCATTGCGTTAACATGGTTGCGCCTATTTCTAACAATTGATCCTCTTCTTTTAATAAGTTAAAAGCTTTCCAAGCTTTTTCCAAATAAATATGTCTTAAATAACGTAAACTTATTAAGCTGTAATATTTAAAGGTCAGGTTTCCCCGAGTTTTTAAAGGAACCACATCATAAGTGTTGATTTTGGAGTGATCATTTAGGATAATCCATAAATAATCTTCTATGTAGTATCTATTCGTGTTTCGGGAATTAATTAATTCGAGAAATGGTTTGAAATCTGCGTCTGATAAATGTTCTTTATTCATGAAATTTGTTGCGAAACTTGTTAATGTTTCATCTACTTTTTGGCGTATCACATAAAGGTGGCAAATTTCCTCATAGTAATTCCCAATCTCTTCTGATTTATCTATTTTTGACCACTTCTCTAAGTACCGATTTTTCCAAAGGATGTTGTTGCTTAAAATGATTCTTCTTAAATAAGAACAGGTTGAGGAGAGGTTAATTAAATCCCGAATATCCAAGGATTTTTGTTCTATTATGATTTGAAGGACTTCTAAAGGGAGATTATCTAACATTTCTTCAAAGTATTTCTAAAAATCAATTAATCAGATTTAGTTCAAACCAAACACAATGATTAGATAAAAACTTGATTTTACAATGTTGTGGTAAACATCAGCTGGTTATTAACAGAATACTGTAATACGATTGGAAATGGTAAAAGAAGCTTAGTTTGGGGCTTGGATTGAAGATGTCGCTTAAAATTGACCGACTCTATTTCTGAGAATAATGAAACGATTTATATCTTAAATTGAGAATAAAACATTGAACTTTAAGATAAGATATAAATACGTTGAGATGTGATTATAAAAATTTAGTTTAAAAAGGAGATGTTAAATAAACATCTCAAACATTTAAAAAAATCATATCAATTCTATTTTTATGAGTAATGAGACAATTTATATCTTAAATTGAAGATAAATGATTGAAGTTTAAGATAAGATATCAATACGTAGAGGTGTGATTATAAAAATTAGGCGAAAATTTTGGTTTAAAAAGGAGATGGTAAATTTAGGTTAAATAAAGATCTCAAATATTTAAAAAATCATATCAACTCTATTTTTGAGAGTAATCAAACGATTTATATCTTAAGTTGAAGATAAATGATTGAAATTTGAGATAACATATAAATACGTTAAGGTATGATTATAAAAATTTAGTTTAAAAAGGGGTTGTTCAATTTAGGTTAATTTAAGATCTCAAATATTTAAAAAATAATATCAACTCTATTTTTGAGAGTAATGAAACAATTAGGATCTTAAATTAAAGATAAATGATTGAAGTTTAAGATAAGATATAAATACGTAGAGGTGTGATTATAAAAATTAAGCGAGAAACTTGATTTAAAAAGGAGTTGTTAAATTTAGGTTAAATAAAGATCTCGAATATTTAAAAAATCATTTCAACTCTATTTTTGAGAGTAATGAAACAATTTATATCTTAAATTGAAGATAAAAGATTCAAGTTTAAGATAAGATATAAATACGTAGAGGTGTGATGATAAAAATTTGCCGACAAATTTGATTTAAAAAGGAGTTGTTAAATTTAGGTTAAATAAAGATCTCGAATATTTAAAAAATCATATCAACTCTATTTTTGAGAGTAATGAAACGATTTAGACCTTAAATTGAAGATAAATGATTGAAATTTAAGATAAGATATAAATACGTTGAGGTGTAATAATAAAAATTTTCCGACAAATTTGATTTAAGAAGGAGTTGTTAAATTTAGGTTAAATAAAGATCTCAAATATTTAAAAAATTATATCAACTCTATTTTTGATAGTAATGAAACGATTTAGATCTTAAATTGAAGATAAATGATTGAAGATTAAGATAAGATATAAATACGTTAAGGTGTGATTATAAAAATTAGGCGAAAATTTTGATTTAAAAAGGTGTTGTTAAATGGTTAAATAAAGATCTCAAATATTTAAAAAATTATATCAACTCTAATTTTGAAAGTAATGAAACGATTTAGATCTTAAATTAAAGATAAATGATTGAAGTTTAAGATAAGATATAAATACGTAGAGGTGTGATTATAAAAATTAGACGAAAATTTTGGTTTAAAAAGGAATTGTTAAATGTAGGTTAAATAAAGATCCCAAATATTTAAAAAACCATATCAACTGAATTTTTGAAGGTATTAAAACAATTTAGATCTTAAATTAAAGATAAAAGATTGAAGTTTAAAATAAGATCTAAATACGTAGGGGTGTGATAATAAAAATTTGCCGACAAATTTGATTTAAAAAGGAGTTGTTAAATTTAGGTTAAATAAAGATCTCAAATATTACAAAAACCATATCAACTCTATTTTTGAAAGTAATCAAACGATTTATATCTTAAATTAAAGATAAGAGATTGAAGTTTAAGATAAGATATAAATACGTAGAGGTGTGATTATAAAAATTTGGCGAGAAACTTGATTTAAAAAGGAGTTGTTAAATTTAGGTTAAATAAAGATTTCAAATATTTAAAGAATGATATCAACTCTATTTTTGAGAGTAATGAAACGATATAGATCTTAAATTGAAGACAAAAGATTGAAGTTTAAGATAAGATATAAATACGCTGAGAATACGCGAGACCGGTCATTAGACGTTTCTGGGGTTCTGGATAAAATAGAAATTTGAGAATTCAGATTTAAGTATTATCAATTGCGTTCTCTTCGACTAAAATATTTTCAGATTTCTAGCACTTCCGGTTATACCGGAAGTCGCCACCTACTTTATTTTTTTAAATAGAACATCCTGTATATTTTAACATATTTGGATTTGTCTGTCTTCAAGGCTTATGAATAACTTTACTTTTTGCAATTTGATTCAGCCGATCTCGAGTTATTCGAATTTTTCTAGAAAAATCTGCTCCAGCAGACATTTGTTCAAAAAATCAGAGAACACTCGATTTTTGAGATATCAATTTAGGATTCAGAACATGCTTAAGCAACATGATGAAGTATGTTTTGGTGCCGAGAACGGCTGTCTAGATCGTTTGGTCACTTTACTATGGCAAGTTAATTTTTCGAAATTTTAAAGTACCATAACTTAATTTTTTTAAATGGCACCTCCCAAATTTTATTGCTTAGTCGTCTTTGGCGTCTCATTTTACATCTTTTATCTATATCTAACATTAATAGTTTGGGAAATAATTAGGGTTTTTTGAAAAATGCTCATATATCATATCGATATTAACCTAATGTGCCATGGAAAACAAATCTTTAATGATTTATTGACCATAGAAAAACTTATATATATTATGTATATAGAAGGTCATCTCCTCACTATTTTTTGGTACATTCAGCGCTCCCAAGGGGATTGTGAGGGAACTAATTAGGTTAAAGCGCGAAATTTAAATATAGGTATTTCTATACCGGTTTATACCAATACTTTATTTTGAAGAGGTCAAGTACATTTTACAAATAAATGCAAAAAATATGAATTTAAAGTTTTTCCAAGACAAAATTCATAATTTTAAATATAATATCTATTGCTCTCATTGGCTAAGGCTCGTTACTACCATCTTCTGGTTAAGCTATCTAAGAGATTATTACCACGGTTACGGCTATTTTTCGCGCTCTGATTGGCTAGTAGATGGGTTTATCTATAAGATAAATTTATCTAAAAGATGGTAGTAATGGACCTAAGAGCGCCAATTTATCTATCGGATAAAGTTATGAAGAGGTGGTAAAAGTGGCCCTAGTTTATTTAAACAGTTAACTAAAGGATATAAAACACTAAGCCAAAGGAAAGTAAGGAAGAATATTTGCTTATACAACGAGGTTATCACCAGTTATCACACCAAACGAGAAAACAAAAATGTGACGTTTGCTTTCACCTTTAAGTTTGACGTTACATATAAATTTTTCTATGGTTACAAGCGCCTTATTTGTGTAGATAATGCAGATTGCTACAAATTCAGTCTACAACGTCATCCAGTGGATTGTGAGGGTACTAAAACCTGGGTCTACATTTTTATAGTAGTAAGATTGCACACCATGTTATTGACGAACGTCAGAGTGTGATTTACGTTGTTTGATGCTTGCGAGTCTAAAACCAGTTAAAATGGATATTAATAACGTAAATAATGTTTATACAAATGAAGAGAAATCCTTAATTTATTTTTTTGTGCACGGAAAGTGCGACAAAGTTCTTAGTAGAACTTGCAGAATGTTTAATGAAAGCAATCCACATTTACCTCCGATGACAAAAGGTAAATTTAGAAGAATAGAAGCAAACTGTTTGCATTTTGGACGAATTAATCACGTGTTAAACTGACCGAGAAATGTAGTAGATAATACAGCGGAAGAGGTGAATACCTTGGCTTATTTCGAGCCCAGTCCCAACGGCTCAATTCGAGCTGTCAAAGAAGATCTGGGAATCATACTATGAACTTTGTCGCGCTCTTCATGTATAAAAAATGAATTAAGAATTTCTTGATTTGTGTAAATATTATTTTCGTTGTTATCGATTTTAAGTCTTTTTAACACTAATATTAAAGGATATTAAGTGTTAGAAGAAAATTTATTTCGATATTTATCTTTAAGATATTTATCTATAAGACAGTTCAGAAGTTTTTATTTTATCTGAAACAATTACGACTGTAATTAAATTGCAAAAAGATTTGGAAAAAAGGATTGAGCAAAATACGAAAAGGGAAATTAAAGAAATATCGATTGAATTTCAAAAACAAGTAGGAATTTTAAATAGTAAACTTATTAAAGATTGGCTGGTAAATCATAGGGAAAGGTACAAACTAACGAAAGAGCTTGGAATTCGGACTAGGACAGAAGGATTTTTTTATTTGGAAGAGGGGATTCTAAATTTTGAGGAATGGAAAATTATTGAGGAATTAAAATGGGCTAAAGAATCATACAAAAATATAGAAATTAATAATAATAATAATAAACTGCCTTTATTTCCAGAGTAAAGAGAACAAACAATAATAATAGTAACTATAGTTACTATAATGCAAAATAAAGATAATCAAAAAAGAAAAAAAAANGCGGTATTATCCAAGCTACTAAATGATGTTGTCAACGTTATAGCTCATCGTCTAAATTTCTGAGATAGCAGGAATTTTATGTTTCTCTATGGCAGTTACGCCCCCTAGCGGTCGAATTACGAACTTCAAAATAATTTCCAGCTATTTCTCTTGGTCACTTTGCTTATAAGGATTTTTTTCCCAAACCTCTAGGCCTTACCGTTCTAGAGATACAGCCGCTCCGTACGCTTAACGGGACACCTGTATATATAATATATGAAAAATAAAATGTGTATATAAAAAAAAGGTTGGCCTAAAAGGGCTATTGATCGTACGGCTCGGGAAAGTCTTTACTAGAATCTTGATTCTTGAATCTAATTTCTTTTATTGTCTTCGTGGATCAGAGCATCTTCGGTAGTGTCGGCCTGGTGAAGTGGGAAATTGTAGTATTATTTACGTTGGGTAAACCATCTCCAACAGTACTTTTATTGTTTACCATGATGAACGTTGGAGTAGTTTTAATGCATTCAAAATTAATCGAAGATACGAATCGGAAGATACGATTCTTTTAAATTTTTAAGTTTTCTAAAAGTTCTCGCATAATTTTGGCAATTTCTTGTTTATGATTATACAGG